AGATGTTAAGTGAACAGAAATTTCAGATTCTCAGATAATTAAATTTCACATCCATAGCAAGATATCCTTGCAATCATAAGTTTTACCTGCATATAATCTTGAGGACCAAAGTTTTGAACTCTATAAAGCAGCAGGAGTACCCTTAGAAAGGCAGAAATGAGGAGCTATGTCAGGATCTTTCCTCACTGGCACAGACTGGCACCAACCCGCTTCCAATCCCAACAAACTTCCAGAAACACTCCATGTTCTTCAATGAAATCCATCAGCTCTTACCTAAACACAAAGTCGGAACGATCGATTTCAGCTCCACAGCTGGAGTTCTTGAGAATTCCTCCATTTCCAACCACTGCACAGTTCTTGAAGGGATAGGCTGAAAGTGGAGAGGACTGCAGGCAAATAAAAAGAATCAGCCAAAATTTTATCTCTCTTTTGATTATTTCTTTGGGTACTTTCTTTTTCTTTCTTTTTTTTCTTTGAACTTCTAGTGGCAAAGAATCCAAAGCATGATTTGTGCAATCCGTTTGCATTTGCAGGTTTAATCCAGGACCTCCCAGGGAAAGCATCCACCATTTAGGCCTCAGAGCTGCCAGGGCTGGTTCCTTCACTCACCTGTGCTTGAACTTTTATCCTCAAACTAGTTTTCGCAAGTCCTATGCACTGGAAACGGCAGGGGAATAAGTGAACTATGAAATACTCCTTAAAGACTGAGGTACCTTTGAAAATGGAGATGAGAAAAGCAAGGCAAATGATCTCAGAGGATTCAGTCCACAGACTTCATGTCTTGTACTAAAAAAAACACACCTTAAGAAACGTGGTTGGCTACCAAGGTAGGCTGCAAATTGTGTTCAGTAGGAACTCCAACTATATTCTGAACTACTGTACCCTGTTCAAGCCTTCTCTCTGCAGAGAAAAGCTAAAAAATTAGTCCTGCTAGATGAATGCAGCTTATATAGGGAGTGAAGGGGTCTTTCCAGCAGGAGAAAAACAAAGCAGCTTTATTTTGAATCGAAAACATTGACGATACTGCAGTTATAATAACAGTCAAAGACATAGTTCCTACCATAGGCAGCATCCTAAAAATGTCCTCTGTGATGCGGATGGTCTTTTTATTGTCCACCTCATAACTCATGTTACTTCCCAGCGGGGTGTTGTTTTGAGAAGCAACAAAATTGTGAACTGCATCACAGCAGGAAGCTAATTCTGACCTGCAAAACAAACAAACAAAACCCATTCAAAGACTGGTAAATATGTAAAAAAGAGGTGATAGAGAACTAAGAGAATGGCAAACAGTTTAATTAGCTAAGTACCAAAAGGCTATAGGGACCCTTTATAACTGTGTTTCCTTTAACTTCCCTTGCAGAGTAAGTCCATCTTGACAAAAAAAGCTTCAGAAAGTACTTAGTCCAAGAACCCCTTCTCTTATTCTATTTTTGTCTCTCCTTCTCCCTTTTCCAACCGGTTAGAATCAGTCTTATTTTACTCATAATCAGTCTTGTCTTTATTACCACTTGCTAAGATTATCATAGAAAGATTATCATGAAGACTCAGGAAAGAGTCTTCAGCTAAAATCAATGGTGAGTTTTATAAAGAAAATATGATTCAGTCCCCAAAGAAWTAATAAAAGGATTTCAATTAACAGCAAACAAGTGACTATAAGCAACCAAAAGGTTGAAGAAAAAAAAGAACCAAGAAGACAAAAGGAAATACTGACTACAGAGTTTTGCCAGCCGAACAGCTAGAGGGTTGCAAGACAATTAATTAATGATTCATTTGCTGGGCAAAATATCACAGATGCTAAGAAAATTATATGACAACCTACAAATAAAGAAGATAGATACACTCTGTGTGGCAGCAGATGGGTACCTAGAAGCCACCCAAAATACCAAGCAGAAGTCCTTAAACAGCCAGAGGGCAAAAGGTTCCCTCATTTAAACATTACGTAGGGGTGAAGTCACGCTACCACCAACTTTATGTAAATGTTATGTATGTAAATATCCTATATTATTACAAAACACTGTAAAAAGTTCCACGTGCCCTTTGAAATCAAACCTAAAGCCTTGTAATGCATTTAGCTATAGAGAATGTAGGGATGCTATCTCTGCTACCCCTGGATCCAATTTTTCTGACTGTGAGGCTAAATCATTACTTATCATTTGCCAGGACATACCTGTCTCACTGGGTGAGACATTAGAAGAAACACTAACCATTTAGAGAAGAAAATTCATTGATCACATAGTTGTCTGGAATTTTGAAAAAGATAATTCTTCCTCTCCTCACTGAGAAAGATTAATTATGAAGGCAAAAAAAAAATGTTTACAGGAGCAGCCAGTGGAAAAGAAAAGCTTTATTTCAGACTTTCTCGACTTTCTCAGTGAGTAAGGTAAAATATGCCCTGGGAACAGGTTAGACAATGCAAGCTAAACTCCACCTGAAAGTGAGCTGACTTTATTAGAGACACAGATAAGGGAAGTTGCTCCTTTCAACTTTATCAACAACTTACACTGTGCTAATACCTCATTAAAGGAATATTATTCATTTTGGGTAGAAATCAGCTACAGAAGTAGCGAACTCAAAGATCCTATCAAAGATCCCAAAGATCCTGCCCTGGGGCATTAGCAGCCTGAGCTGCCCCGTGTTTCAGCCCAGTGCCTGGCCTGCCGTGGGCTACAGCCACAGTGCCTGGCTCCAGCTCCACCGAGATATTTTATTTTATTTTATTTTATTTTATTTTATTTTATTTTATTTTATTTTATTTTATTTTATTTTATTTTATTTTATTTTATTTTATTTTATTTATTTTCCACCGGTGGTGGATAGCATTAATTCAGAGGATGCATTCTTTCTTCTTATTACTCAATCCACAGGAATTAGTGCTTCATTGAAAGCAGAAACACTCTGAAGAAAGAAGGTATCAGAATTCATAAGAAAGTTATACTTTTAATTAATATTACGGATCTGTTGTGGGAGTAAAACAGAGACAGGCTAATTCAGAAAGGCAGTGAGAGCGAGGAAATACATATCCATTAATCATGTATTTTCTTACGTTATCTCATAGCCTATGTGCTAAAGGCTTAGACAAACCAACGTCTTGCATCAAGTCTTATTTGCACAGAATTCCTTGGCGGAATTCTGCTATTGATGTGGAAAGCTCTAGCTGCAACAGATATGACCTGCAGACCACAAAAGCCACTGGAAATCAATATTCAGCAACCTGTTCGTATAAGCTAATATAAAGTATCTCTAAAATTCACAGCAAATGATGAGACTGGTTGGAGACTGGGTGGTTCAAGTAATTATTTGCACAAAATCATCTCTAGTGTTAATCACATATGTGGTATCTAAAGGCAATGGCACCCAAAGAGCACCCGCTTCATAAACCTGTGGAAATTGATTGTTTTAGCAAGCATGATCTCTAAAGTGTTATAAAGCTAAGACAGTGTTTTAATTTGTGCATTTTGCCATCTGGGACAAGAAAAAAAMCAATAAAAGCTACAATACAGAGCACTCCCCAGCCAGATGGTAAGAGACAAGGGTCAGAATCCTAACGGCACCAAACGGTAGCACCTTAAATCAAACTCKGCATTTCCTTTGGAAGGATGGAAAGTGATCCGTGTTGTCTGTGGAATTACGGACAGGAGAAAATGCATGGGATATGGGGCAGCTCTTGGAAGACAGGGGGTTTGGCAGGGAGCTCCTTTAGGCTGCAGCTGGCAGTGCCAGTTTCCTACGTGGGGAGGAAGGTCTCCCTGCAGCTGCAAACGCACTGAGACTTCAGAGCCCTTTCTGACCTCCAGGACTGGCATCGGCTGCACTTGCTTCTAGTGCCAAGACAAGCAAAATGGAGCTGACTGCTTTATCTGCAAGTTTCACTTGTAACAAAGAACAAAATCAGTATACACAGTATGRCAAGTGTATGACGAGACTATTCCATTTGCACTGGTAATATACATTTCATAAAACTGAATGAGTACAACCATGATAACCCTAATGAATAAACTAGCTGAGGTATCATGCTGCATATGAYTAAGAAGGTTTATTTGTGTTGAAGACAACAGAGAGCCATTGTTGACTGGCAATATATTATGTAAAGTTCTTTCTTGGTAATATATTTTGTGAATTCCTTCCTTCTTGGAACCATTCCCATGGCCTCAGCTCACAATTGCAACCAACTAGGATGGAACCTGGAGTCTACGTGGCATCCAAATGACTTCTTCAGGTTTGCAGATCCTGAAAACTTCAGAGTATCCTGTTTTCTCAAGCAGATTATACAAACACAGAGACAACTAAAAGAAATAATGACGTTTTCAAATTTTGGACTAATTGTACAGATAACCCTTAGGCAATAATACAAAGCTGCTGCCCTTTACTCTTCCCGTTTTCAAAGTCCTTTCCATGATGCAAAACCTCTATGTGAAAAARTGCCCTATTCAGTTTAGAGGAAGCCAGATATGTAAGTACCTGCAGTAGTTTCTTTGGAGTTTCTGTAATAGCTACATAGTCATGAAGCTCAGTCTGAATTATTTTATATATACAAATATATATATATATAAAAATATGCCTTTTCATATATATAATTATTATTATATCTTTTCAACTGCTGAAGGTGAACAGAGAGTGGCTGGCCAAGGGCTAACAAGGTTCCTTCGCAGACCCCCAAACCAGCACAGTGCTTTTCCCAAGTGGGATGTGAATAATCTGTAATATTTAATAGGGAGGAAATGGGTCTTTATGCAAAGAGCTGCTGCAGAGTTTAAAGCATCCTGACTCCTCCACATTACTGATATAAGCAACAAAAGGACATTTGCTTTATCCTCCCACAGTAAGTAGGATGGTTTTCATTCAGATGACCTTCTTTCATTAAATAAGATGTTTAGCTAAAGTCATTTTGTTCTATAACGTTTTTGTATTTTATTCTGATAAACACTTGGTAAGAAAAGGCACTTGCCTCTGCATCAAAATGTTACATAGCCTCATATATTGTGACACAGACAGCAATTTTCCACTGGAACTTCATCTGTTCCAACCTAGAACTGGAGCCCAAGGCCAGACAGTAAACAGGGTTCCATTTTCTGCATTTATTTGTTATCTAAATATCTCACATTTTTAAAATGAAAGACCAGTTGCCTTGTTTGCTTTTAACAGGCTGCTTTTAACAGATCAGATACTTTTAAAAAAAAGGTATTATGAAGATGATACAGAGCCAGGTAGGGGACTGGAGCCAGCAGAACCTGTCCTAGCTCTGTGAACGTGACAGGGCTGCTTCCGCGCAGGCCGCGCCGCGCTGGGCGGCACAGCTGCGTGCAGAGCCCAAGGCCAGCGGGTAGTTTCCATCGCTGAGAACAGAAATGTGACAGGTTTCCCTGTGAATATACATTGGACTAAACTGAGGGGAAACGATTGCAAAAGTAGATAGGGACAAACGCTGCAGAAGTACCAAAATTGTGCTGAAGAGTAGATGTTGGGCTGTCCTCTAAGACTACGGGGGGGAAGGGCGAGAAGAAATCACTTTAATTTGCATTAAAGAAAGTTTAGGTGCAATATTAAGGAGCACAGTGAAACAGGCTGCTGCAGAAGGCTCCTGAAATAGGAAAGCTGCTGAATTTCATTGACTGAAGAATTTTATGAGACATTTTGGCAAACACGCCTCAGGAATGGCCTATATACATTGGAGTCTGTCGAGAGAGGTGGGCTTCACAGGCAGTGCAGAGACTAGATCGTCTGGAGATCCATCCTGCCCCTGCATTTCCACAAGTAACACGTTCTTTCCAGTCCACCTTTTATAACCCTCTGTACTAAGCACCAAACAAGCGAATATTTGTTTGCAGAAGTGTATCACAATGTTCCTGCTCTAAAGCAGCTGCACCTTACCCACACCAGCTACTAAAAAATGACTCAAAACACCCTACAGAACAGGTAACAGCCCAAAGCAAGAAGAGCAAATACTCAAAACTGTAACTACTGCAAACAGTTTAAGGGACAACCATGTGCTTAGTGTGTCTGACAACACGGTTTGCAATACCATTTGAATAAAAGGCAAAGTATTCCAAGTAACAAATGTCTGGCTTATTAATGACCTAGGAAAGTCTAAGTTTGTCTAATATTTTTGCTCTAATAGTCCACTAATTAATGTCCACTCCTGCATTTTTTTCAGTGAGCAAGAAATCACCTTATTCTACTGCACTAGGGCTGTAGACAACGTTACTTGTTTCTCCAGGCTTTTTGTCAAGCCCAGTCAATACTGGCAAATCAATGCTTTCTAACAGTGCAATATTAGGACGTATTCCAAACTTTGAGAAAAAGAGTGCTTAAATCTCATGTCTGAAACAACTTTTGCTGAATCTGTGCTCTGACAACCCTAGAACAGTCCAAAAATGTAGTAACGTCATAAATATCTAAGACAATGAAAATCAACAAGGTTCAACATGAAACAAGGCTGAATATGTGTAAAGTGTAATGAAATTTTCAAACCACCTAATGTCTRCCATGAAAACATAACTAGCTCAACTGATCCCACTTAACTTTCCCATTAGAGGATTTTTCCAACTTTTAGGAAAACATATAGTCTGCAAGCAGTTAAAAGATCCATCTGTTTCCATAAACTATCACCAATGTATCACCAATGAATCTCTCTCTTTTCACCCAGCCCTTTTCTTTCCTGAAATGGAAATATGTCTCTGAATATATACTTCTCATTTTACGTATGGTATATTAAGCATGCAGCAAATGTACTCTGAAACCATAATGTGATCTCAATATCTCAGTTCTGTGGGGTTTTGGGGTTTTTTTTGGTACACTGAAATGGAAGATTTCAGAGAATACAGTGGAATTATCGATCTGTTTAGTGTTAGGAAGGCTATTGATTATGTGCTGGTGTGAGCTTATATAAACATAAGTTGACCTTGCAGGGTATTTTWTTTGTGTTTCAGCTGTGTTTTATTGAAATATTCAGGAATAATTTATATATCTGAGAGTTTAATATACCCCAATTTAATCCCTTCAAGGAGGTATAGGATTTTACAATCTGTAAGAACGTTTAGCACACATTTTTCAGAAGTGGCACTAAGTGAGAGAAGGTAATAGAGGTCAGGCAGATTAAAAAGCAGGAGGAGAAACTACAGAACTGTGAGGAATAGGCTGATCTCTCAGCTATTATTTCGCAGATCTCAAGTTCTAAATAAACAGCAGGGCAACATTAGCATTTTTGAAAGGGTATTTTGCATTTGGCTATTTCCTTTTCCCTTCATTACCAGATTCAGGTAAGGTTTGTCAGGAGTGGTGCTTCCAGAGGGAGGGATGCGCAGCTCGCCCAGGGCTGTCACCGYGATGCCACTGCTGCCCAACTGCTCCAGCTCCAGGAGCGCCCAGCAAGACAGTGCCCGGGGGCTCCTCTCAACCACCACCTTCCCTTGCCTGCCCCAGGCATTCTGAGGGCTCTTTTAACTATTTACTAGCTTCCARCAGAAACAAGCATTGCAGATATCAGGAAAAACTGCAGATTATTTTCTGCCACAGGTCTATAGCCCAAATGAGAATAAATCAGACTTAAAAGTCTGTAAATCAGAGATGTAGAGGTATAAAAAACAATTACAGCCTGCATCCAGCTGGGGTCTAATTTGTTGCACTAATGAAACATCTCTTTTAAGTYGAAAATCTTTGATGAATACTAATATAATAATTAATATTCATGTTACCTAGGGAACCTGAGACTCTACCAACTGTAGCTAGAAGAGCCTTGGCTGAGAAATCCACCCAACAGTTTTTCTAGAGCTTTAAGAATGATGCTTCAAGGCAGCTGCAGGACTATTTCACCTCCCTTTCCTAATTTGTACCATTCCTCTCATATCCAAGAAACTGAGGACTATCTTTATCCAAATCAAGTTGGAGCTGATGTAAATCTGCCAAGGGAAGCAGAATTCAGGTAAGCTTTGAAACAAAGGAGTGGAAATGCTAGACTGCTAGTTGTAAAACATATGAGGAAAAAAAAAACCAAGAAACCAATGCTGAATTTTGTAAAGAGGTCTGAATAGAACGCACTGCTGTTCTGTATGTCTTGACAGCTCTAAATGTTGGAAAAGACTTTCCTGCAATCATTGGGATTCTGTTTGTTCTAGTGAACCCCTTGCTAGATTTTCTGCTGTACCGACACTATCCTGCTAGCATACGCCCTGAAGTCAGATAATCCTAAGGAATGGCCAACAAACATTCCCACACGGCGCTCTGCTAGACCACAAGAGCAATGAATTGAGTGTTTGCACAAGTTCCTCGGAGGGCAAAACGAATCTGGCTGCACTAATGCCAGCATTAAGGACACTACATAAATGAATGTACAGGAGAGCGGTTCCCTGGCCGAGGCAGGACAAAAATCCATCACAAAAAAACAAGTGACTGTGGCGATGGAGGTATTAGAGAGGGCATCATGACTTGTGCTTGCTCCCTGGAATCATGGGAGAATATAGGAACATCATCAGAGAATGCAGGGATGCAACAAGGAAGGCCAAGGCCCATTTGGAATTAGAGTTAGCGAGGGATGTCAGGAACAACAGGAAGGGCTTCTACAAACACATCAGCAGCAAGAGGAAGACTAGGGAAAATGTTACTCTGCTGATGAATGGGGAGGGTCCTTCTGTTTTTTTKGGGCACTGGGACCACTATGGCTTTTGCCAGTCAGGGATGGCAGCTGAAACCCTTTTGCCAAATACAAATACAGGCAGTTCTTTCCTGCATTGCCACTMTGATCCATATCTTTTTATTTGGCCTGGATTTTTGGGGAGTTAGACTTATAGGGAGAAAGGATGTGTACTCACTGGCACACAGATCTGTCTTCCAGGAACACCCGAGTTATGGAGCATGGATTCATGCCCTCCACCACCAGTAAGATAACAGCAATCAGCACAGGAAAAACACAAGAAAGCTTCTTTGAGAAATACACTGCCTTTGGGGAATCTTCTTTTGAACCTTATTAATTAGAGGTTAGTTTATGCCCTGTGGCATAAGACATTAAATCTCTTAAGCATATGCATCTCTCATGCATGCCYCACTGTTATTCAGACCCTCAATGTTACACAGAGGTGCCATCATCGACACCGTGCCCGAGAAGCAGGGAGGTGTTCACTCCGTTTAATAGATGGGCAAGCCGGGAGAGAAGACACGGAGCTCCTGCAGCCTGGTCAGCAGGCAGACTGCTGCCACACGGCAGGCTGCAGCCCTCCTGCCCATGGGGACTGGCTGTGCTGAGAGCATGTCCCCCTGGGGACAAGGCTGCTGCAGAGCCTCGCCGGGGTTACCCTCCTCCTCTGCGGAAGGGGTATGTTGACCAACTTAATGAGATTTTTAGAAATGAATAATATTAAGTACACAATTATTATGCATTACTGATACTAGACAAAATTAGAAAACAAAAAGGAGAGAGGTGCTGCCAGAGGATTACTAACTGGTTGAAGGAAAAGGGCAGGAGGGAATGAAAGATCCCCATCTTTCATTCAGAAATCAGTACCAGAGAGAGGGAGGCAGGAAGAAACTGGACAGGGACTGGAAACCTCTGAGTGGATAAGGAAAAGGAAGGGCTACCTTTCTTCCTCACATTTCTAGAAGCTCTGTTCCCCACAAAGCTTTGTCAATGCATCACTCCTAAGCTGCAGTGTCCTTGCAGAGCTAGTTCCAGGCTCCTGTGCTTGAAGTCTGATAAAAAACTCTAAGAGTGCAGTAAGCATGAAGTGTATAATGTTTAGCTGGTAAATTTTATACTGAATTTCTTTTTCTCGCTCACTGCTTCTACAACTCTGTATCATATTCGATAGCACTGCATGGCTAAAGCCAGAAAGCCCCACAGAGCTTATTGAAAGTTTCTCAGATCTTAACTCCATGCATGACACTGCCTCAGCTTCGGAAAATACCACTGGTCAACAGCACTGGTCAACCAGCAGCAATTCATGTTGCACATAAAGATCACCCCCTCCATCACTTCTTCCAGTAGTATCACACTGAGCACATGGATATTAAGTTTTCAAAGCTAGTTCATTCCAAAGAGTTGGAAGGTAGGTCAGTTTGTTTATTTTTAATAATCTTGACAGACTCTAATTCTGTTCCATGCAACAGTGTAATTCAGAGAGTGTTTTCCCCCTGGAGAAACTAGGGTTGACACCATGGAGCTGTTCTCCAAACYCAGCATGACACATTTCCAAATGAGAGTGGAAGCTTTACAGGGATTGCAGYCCCTATGGAGCACATCATTATGTGCAAGCTTAAATGTATGTGTAGTCTTGACAGGGACAGGTGTAACCATGTGCTTCTTTGCATGGGTATCATGGCATGCAAGGCTGAGCCTAACGAGCACCTTAGGCACCTTTGTAACAGGAAGAGCAGCCCTTGGGTAAGAAATATATCCTTTCATTGCCAAGTGCCTTGTCAGAGTGCCAATTCAGACAACCAAAACCACAGTACTAGATGTGTTTAATACTGTATGCTTTGTTTGGAGGCTATTTTTAATCCATTCTAGCAAGTTAGTTAACTATTCATTGCAATGGSGGATAGGTGAAATTATTGCATTTGTGTAGTTCTTTTATGTTGCTCCGTTTGCACAGTTCTATGCAAATAAACAAAAAGCACACCAACATCAAAAGAACAGGATAAATGCATAGCTATGTGTGCAGTCTGAAAGCAGGACAAGAGAATCTTTACAATAGGTAAGATCTCAGTTCATTGTTTGTTAGACAAACCTGGTCTAAGCAGCTTTGCTAAATGAGAAAATTAAAATTACCTGAATTTTACACACTCTTCCAGTCTCTTTATCCAAGTGCAGTTTTGCAGTTTTGTGACCATGTAAAGAAAATAATCTTCTGAATATCTAAAAAAGGCAAGAACATCAAATGCTAGAGTATGCAAATAGATATTTAGAAACAATCTCTAAAATATTCAAATGACACGTACTAATAACAACATGCATGCTGCATATATAATAGATTGCTTTAGAACTTCATAACCCATTTTATTTCTATAATTTGCAACAGTACTATCTCATTAAATTAGCTTGACCTAATAAACATATTTTTCTCATAGTGATGTCCTAATGAACCCTTATTTTTTAGAAATTTGCTGCTTTGCTTTGCTAGTTTCAAGCTTTATATTAGACTATAACTACCCTGAAGTTATTGGAAAGTTATTTCTTCAGAAATTGTTTCCAGTGCTAAAATCCAAAATAATACAAAAAACCCTTTGTCTTGTATGTGGCATTTTTCAACTTCAATAGTGCTTAGAGATACTGCTCTTGCAAGCCAAGATGAAACACTGCACTTTTTTTCTTCCTTTTCTTTTATCTACTTTACAAATTTCCCAAAGCTTAATTCAACAACCTAAGACATAGATCAACATTTACAGACCTAAGGTTTTCTTCAAATTTTCTCTTAAATAAAACAACCAATCTGTTTTACATCTAACAGGATTAAGCACCACTGGGGTACACATAACCAAAAAGCTTTTTGCTCCTTTAAAACCCTTTCAAGAGATTTAAACTTATCCACATGTGAAATATTGAAGAATCTGTAAGCCAAAAAATAGGTGAAATTTCTTCCTTTATAGGTTCTCTGTTAATATATCTCCAATTTATGGTTTGAGCAACTTTTTTTAAAGGTAGACTTACAAGGAGGATTGGGGTGAAGAGAAGACAACATGAACTGGACATCATATGACTACAAATTCTGTGGCACATCTCTAAAACAAAAATCTACCTTGTGTTATTTTAGCAACAAGGTCTTAGTATTGGTCCAAAGCCAAATGACCACGAGTTTATTGAAGCTGAAACTTAAAAGTGTGTTTTTGAATCTCCTTTCAGCAAGAGCTGGGAAGGTAAGGAACCTCACTTGCTTTTAATTGGAGCATGAGAAATGATAAAAAGGAACATAAAATTTGTGGTAGCTTGCAATAGCAGAGCACTCAACACCCCAAAAGGTTCTTTCTACCTCTGTGTACATTTGGCACYGAGAAAAATCAAAGTGTCATTCATGGCACTAAGTCTAAGGCCTCAGGAGAAACCAGGGCCACTTACCATCGAAAATGTGAGGAGCTTCCTAACTGCAACAGAAGCTACCTACCATATAGCTGATGAATATCTGAACCTAGAATATCTGAACCTAGAGTTAAAGCACCCATTACAGTGCAAAAACTGAGCGGCTTGCTCAGAGGTTTCAGCGTCCACCAGGCCTCCCCAGGCAAAAACCTCAYTGAGAAGTCACTGCAGCCCAGAGCAGCAGCTCGGCCTGGCTTTTCCCTGCAGTTTCGTTGATGTTGTGGCTTACAGAGCTGCACGGGCAGTCACGGCTCAGCCTTGCAGCCGCTGGCACAGTGCCCTGAGCAGCAAAGCTGCATGAGCAGAGGGTCCCGCGGGCCAGTGGCTCTCAGCTTCTCKTCATTCAGGTCCGTGCAGAGAACAATCTGAACTGAGACAATATTCCCATAAATTTTTATTTTAACTGAAAATGAAGCTCTGGGGGTTGCTGCAGCTGGATTTGCAGCCCAGAAAGCTTTGTTTCATGCTCCAAAGACTATTTTGGCCTTCCTCACTTTAAATGATTCTTAGGGACTCAGCCTCTAGGGGASTTAGTCCAGGATGGTCATCAGGATTTGATTTCATGACTCTGATGCAACTTAGTCCTCTTCTCCTTCATTTCATTTCACAGAACTGGGACAATATGTATTATTTCCCTGGAAATCCAAGAGTTTACAGTACCTAGCCACTGCTGCTAAAAGGATTTTATTACTAAGATATAAAAGCTCAGGTAAATTGAACTATAACAATGTGTGGACAAGACCATAATTATAGTGCTGGGAACAGTGAATAAAACATGTTCTGTCCTGTTTTTGCCCGTCGCCTGCATACAAACTATTATAATGACTTGCTGTCCTAGGAAACTCACTTACGGTGTATGAGCCTAGCTGGCAAAGAACGGCTTGAAGATTTTTTGCCAATGWTTTTTGTCAGGTGCACAGCGACCTTCTAAATGAAGTGGAATGACTAAAGTGAAATTATCATGCAGAGACGAGGCACTGACAACATCCARGCATCTAGCTGGTTTGAGCAGGTATCTAAAGGACAGCAGCAAGGACAGAGGTGCTGAGGTGGAAGAGAAACAATAGGAGAAATGTCCAAATGGAGAGAGATGCCACCCCGCTGGTTAACTTGTGGCCTAAACACTCAACTGGGGGAAATACAGGAATAAAAGCTCTTGGAACCAGGAGGAAATGCAAGCAGCAGGAGTAAGAAAGGGTGAACCCTCCCATTTGGCAGAAAATGTTCAAGAACTAAACAAACGCCCCCACCAAAAAAAATAAAACACTGCAGGAAATGCAAGAGAAGGGAAGGATCCCTCACGCCTTTGGATGCTTTACTATTGCCAAAGCCACGTACAGCTTTTAAAGCCTGAGGAGAGTGTGTGCAAGGCTCCCTCCTCAACACAAATGGAAGTCTTCCAGCCCATAGCTCAGCATTTCAGCAGAGCTGAAATCACCAATAACATGTGCCTATTATAGTAATACTTCACACTTACATAAATTTTTTGTTATTTTAAAATGTCAAGGTTTAATATAGATTTTTTTTTTTTTTTTTGGAGAGGGGGAAGCAGGGGTGTGTCTCTACCAGCTTAGGAAGCCAGAAAATCCAGAATATCCCGCAAAGTCTTCTACAACTGCAATATAAATCATTTATATWCCATGCCTGTGGGTAACACACTCAAAAAAGCATCACAGATCCTGTCCCAGCAGCTCTTCTCAGTAAAGGGAGCTGCAAAACTCACAGAGCAAAGCAATATTCTACCCTACGTCCCAAAGGGCAGCTTCTCTTCCTACCTGCCCAGTTCGCCTCATTTACTGGAGCACTCCTTTTCTTTTAGCCACAGGGCAAACGAGTGACACTTTCACAACATTCTCCTGGATTCTCTGCCCTAAAACATTGTAGATATGAGAAATAAGTCTGTATTCTTACAGCCTGTACTGCTTTGTAAGACCCAGGATGAAGAACAGCTTTCGTATTGCCACAGCCAGGCTTTAGAGGCAAGATACTGGCCAGTTGTCCTTTTCTTGGTGTTAGTCACTTGCTCAGTGTTTCAGCTAGCTGTAGTCTTTAAGATGTTTGCCAAGCTCTACTTCAGCTCTTACTGGTGCTGCAGTAGCACAGTGGTCTTCCACCCTTTGAAAGGGTAAAAACACTTAAGATGGTGTTAATGAGATCTGAGGAAGGAAAGAAATTCATAAAGAAAAAGGAGAGGGAGAAGTATGCACTAATATAGCTAATTAGTAAAGCAGACTGAAGATAGTTTGGATGAAGGACAGAAGAGGAGAAAAGAAAGAAACGTGGTATTAAAATAATTGGTGAGGAAGTTGAGGAAAAAAAATGCTCCATTAGAAAAGACTGAATGTCTAAAATGGGAAAAGGAGGAAAACACTACTGTTTCAGTTCTGGAAAACATATAAAATAAGACAATGTTGGGAATACAGTGACTTAAAAAAATAACTGTAATATCTTAAAAGGCAATGCAAAGGTGGTGGGAGAGCAGAAAAGACAGGCAGAGTTTTAAAATCCTAACTCAATGCTGACTTTGAGTGACTTCTTCAGTCCTTTGAGTCTCCCCTTCAGTCTCACTTTCAGTCTCCCTTTGGGGAGAAGGAAAACAAAGCAACTCCACACACAGCTATTTTTTTAATTCTGTTTCTCATTCCCTTTCTCTTCTCTTTACAAATAAAGAAAAATATGTAAGTGTATAGAACTCAGTTTTAAAGATAACCAGGCAATATATTTTTCAGCATCCCATCTTAGTAGGAAGGCTTTCCTATTTACAATGTTTCCTCTCTTGGTACATCCATAGGCACCAGGGCTGAAAMACCTAAAAAGGGAAGAGCTGCTTCTCCGGCTTCCACATTAGATASCAGCAAGGAATCCAAGCACGATTGGTATCAAAGATTTTTTTCCATGATAGGAAAGGTAAGTTGAAAGCTAAAATGGATTGTGAATGTTTCTTCCAAGATACCAACAACTGAATAATTAGTTTCCCATGGACTAGTTAATCTTATAATGAGTGCAATTAATTAGCAATTTATACTAGCACATTTTTATACTTATTCTAGTGTAAATGCTGAAATGAGTCTATTAACTACATTTGCTCACAGCAGGAGTGTTCACTAATCATGAAAAAGACACTCAAGAATGAAATTATACCTCACATGTTCTGCTTTACCTCTTTTTAAAGATCTTGTAATGAAAAGTTGTTAACTGGGAATGAGGAGATCTTGCTGATTTACACTATGAAGGGAAAAAAAGAACTAGAACAAGTGTAAAACACAAGCTCTTGTGAAAGAAAAAAACACAAGCAAACATTGGTTGAACAATTGCAGTTTCCTGTCGTATAATTCCACACAAACAGCATGSAGAATTCTGTGCAAAAGGAGGACAATTTTTAGTCTTTTATTTAAAAATAAGCAAAGCAAACACCTACCTTTTTTTATTGATCAGTGACGACAAAATATTGTCCTGAATTTCCTTGCATTTTGAAGCCTGTTCAAACTGGTTAATTCCATTTTTATCAGTAGTTGTGCTGTTAAAGAAAGAAATAATAAAAAAAAGGCATGAGGAGATGGCAACAAACTTTGAAAGAGAGAACATGTTCTGACAACGCTGCTGCATTTAATTTTCTGTGACAAAGAGATTAATAGTTGTTGGTTTTAGCTGAAAACATTACCAAGGAATTCTTAGTCACTCCTATTGTGAAGCTCCTGCGAAAAGGCAAGTTTGCTGCTGGTGATTGTAACAAATTTGCCTCTTTAAATAATCCCATTTTACACTATGAATTACATTATGTTGATGAAAATGTAAAGCAGAAAGTTATTTTTAAAAAATGAAATGGGAAGCCCCTTGAACATTGTGTTTTGAAAACATATTTTAAATATTTCTCATTAGAGTATTTTAGCAGATTTCTAAAAATCTGATTTTCCAAACTTTTGGATAAAATGCAATATTCTGAACGTACAGGAAACACGCAACGCACCCGGTGAAGTGCCCGAGACCACCATGCTGTCCTCAGGACACAAATCCAAGGCAGCTCTGGGCAGACTAAGGGCCTTAAAGCTTTGTACATGATGCACAAGTTTTGCTTCTGCATCACCACTGCCCTTCCCCTTACAAGTGAGACCCGAAATGACGCCGGCTTCGCTTCCTAAAACACCGAGGCCACTTTTCAAGAAGATTCCTAACAAGCTGATTCTGCAGCTCTTATGTGGGCAAGATGCCATTTCCAGTCATAAATAATTCAAATGGAAAGAGTCTGATTAAAGAAGAAAGAGCAAAATAAATGCTAGTTTATTTTGGTACTAAGCTGGCTGGCATTTTTATAGCTATCCTAGGAGAAGAAAAGGAATAAGGGGCCTTTCCCTCTTTTRCTGCCACCTGCATGTTTCCTACTGCAACACAGGTGTATGGGAGCTTGGTTTGCATGCTTCCACACACACCAAAGCACCAACTGGGGCCCTTCCCGGCATAAAAGGAGCCAGAAGCTGCTCCTGGACAAATCTAGTTAGCACCAACTCACGTTCCCCCTCTCTGCTGCAGCAGCTCAGTGCGCTGAAAATGATCCTTCTCCTGCAGAGTAAAGCAGGAGAAATGCCTATGGGCTAAGCTTAGCTCTATAAACTTTACCTTAAAGAAAAAAAAGAGAACTTTCAATATTAACCAAGTGCATTTTACTTCTGCAAGTGTTTTTTTTTTTTCTCCGTTTTCACTAAAATCCAGGCCCTGGACACCTGCCTGAGGTCCCCCGAGCGCGGTGGCCCGAGGGTCCCTGCAGCGGAGGCCGCCGGGCACCTGGTGCCGTCTCTGCCACGAGCACTTGGAGGCAGCGCCTCGGAACCGACCTGTGGGCACAGGGAGGACTCGGCCCAGGGCCCAGCGCGAGGCTTGGGCAGCTTCCCAGCAACGTGTGTCCTGGCACCGGCGGAGGSAGCTCGTAAAAATCACAGAAAAATCATCTCAACCAACTACCAGCTTTATTCCAGACACTTTTAGACTTTGTAAAGTCAAGGAAGTGAAACTAACTGCAGGGAGGTGCTTTGTTTTTTAATATATACTTCTTTTTTTTAATCCATGTAACTCCATGTCAGGACTTGAAAATTTCAAAAAGGAAGAAGCTGGATAAAAAAAGAATGAGTAAAATAAAGCCCAGTTCAGTTTTGTCATTAAATCCTGACTGTCACCTTTATAGCCATCAAAGGAGAAAAAAAGAGGAATAAGGAGCCTTTCTTCCCTTTCCATGACCATTCAGATTATTTGAAATGACACAAATATGGGGAAAGTCAGGGATGATTCTTAGTCCATTTTTTTCTCCCTATCACATAAACTCAGTCCATCACCAAAACATTTCCTTTTGTTTTTTTCCATATAAAATTTACTCAAAAAGTAAGATTTTTGAGTGCAAGATCATCTTTGAGTACAAGTACATCTTCTGGTACAAGAAGATTCCCAGATAACACAATTTACTTTTAAGAGAAGCAAAACAATGACTTATTCTAAAAAGGTGGAATTTCCTGGTTTCCTTGGGCTCTGTCAAGCTGAGGGGAGGACCAGGGCATTCAGATGAKAAGGGCGTGCAGGGGCCGTCACTGCAGGGCCACCCGCACCCCCAACTCGGGTACATTTCCGACCACTTAACGCAGCCACCGAGGGCAATATCCAACGTGAAGTGAATGTAYCTGGCCTAGTGGATGGCAGTCTTTGCTCAATACATAGAGCTGCACCAAAGAAATATTTACAGTGACATATCTCACTGTGCATAKGTGAGGCTACATCCACCTACGCTTGCAAACTTGCAATCTACTTGAAGAGGAAAACATGTCACATCTTGTTGGCTTGAACTTAAACTTGATGAAATGTGGCCACTGCTCTGTGATCCCTTTTGAGTTATCAGTGTTCTCAGAGACATCCTTACCGRTCAAAATCTAAAATGGTTTTTATCATGCACAAAAAGCCTGAGGACCACATCCTAACTGKGGTAGTTCTGGGAACTAGCAGTTCATATATTCAGTTCCATATTAGATGAAAGTCACGTGCTCTTTTTATCAGCATTTGGTTAATCCATGCCTTGCCTACAAGAAGACAGACAACAGCTCCTTAAGCAGTAAAATCTTTAAAGTCCATGTCTTAAGACATGGACTGTCCACGTGTCTGTGAGGTTCTACAGACTATGGCCACAGACAAAGCCCTGAGGGAATCTATGCTCAAAGATAAGAGGAAAAGGAAAAAGGAACAAAGGAAATCTATCCCATAAGAATGATACTGTACTTCCAACTAAAGAAAAATCTGTCTTCCCTAAGGAGGATTGTTAGAATGGATGAAAGAAAAGCAGAAACAGGGAGAAACGTCATCTCACTGTGTCTGTACTGATGTTCTAGTGACTGGGCTGGAGGGTGCTCCAGGATGCCCCACGCAGCAGCTGTGTGTCCCTCCTCCCACGTTTTCTTGTTTCTGCATTCAAACCTGAAGCTGTGGAGTGTCTTGATCCAGGCATYGCCAAGGCTAAATGGAGAATTAACAAGGAAGCATGGAGTGGAATGGGGAGGGAGAGGAAAAGGAACAAACTGCAGCAAACCCAAACCTTCTGGTTCTGGTTTCCTTCTCTACAATGAGAGCAGGAAAACRGATGAATATAAAAAGAATGAAAAAGTGATGGTTGGCAGGAAAAAAAAACACATGGAAGAAGGAAACACCTCTCAGTGCAGCAAGAAAGTCACAAGCACCACAGCGAGGAGGCCCCGGGACTGGAAGGCCCCCTGCCCAGGGCTCCCTGCCCATGGACACGAGCGGGAAGGAAAGGGAAGGGCTGGAAGCTGCGGCAGTCCAGGCAGCGCCACCTTCCACGGCCGCTYGGGAAGCAGCAGGAACTTCACCCCAACATCTAAYRGAACTAAGCCCACACTGAACATTACAGGAAAATCCCCCTTAACCATCTTTATCCACTCCCCGCTCAGTAGAACTAGTTGTTCCTTTTCTTTTTTTTTTTCTCTCTCCCTACATCTTATGKTTTTTTTCCTCCCTGCAGCAGCACAAACCCTCTGAACTCTGCTCCTGCACAGCATCTGCACCTAGACTGGACAACTTCTGCACACTAAACTTCACGTACCTTTATCATGTACCTTTATATCTTCCTATATCAGATCTGGCGCTGACCAACACCATGCAGATTGTGAACAYGTTTCGGTCTTAATTTTCAGTGGAGACACTCATTTGTATTTGAGTCTCGTACTGTATTAGTTGAATATTTGAGTTCTTAAAAACCCGTAATCCACACTTCCCTGGGAAGAGTGGTCTTAACCGCTGCCTTTGACACCAATTTAAATGAATGAGATAAGAATATATTGATGTTTTCAAGGTTCCTGACACTTTGACTAATAAGGCAATATACAAGCTAAATGCTTGGTGAAATGGGCTATAAAAATGGTTTCATCAAACAATAGGAGCAAGAACTTTTCCTGTAACATTAATCACAGTAACTGTGAAAGAGCCAAATCCTACTATTCCTGTACAAGCTTCCAGGGAAGTTTTGCTTATCTAAGAAATGCTGAATAGGTACATCTTGCTCTGAAATTATGTGGTAGCCCTTCTGATACATTCCCCAGAGGTTTACATGGCATCTGATACTTCTTAAATTTATGAACATTCACAGCTCGGGTGGCCTATAACACAGCAAGGAATATTCCAAATCTCCTAGTGGGTAAGGTCAAAAGAGCAGAACAAGGTCCTTCGCATGAAATGGTGCTATAGCAGCACCCAACAGGCAGAGTGACAGAGCATTGCCCTTGGACCAAGCCAGCAGCAAGAGGCCAGGAAGCTTCTCACTCCTGTCGGTGCATAACCGTGTCCCGCAGTCCTTCCAGCTGAGCACCGGATCGCTTGGACACWGCTGATCCGTGAGGCACGAGCGGGAAACGCGCTCCTAGGAGGTGTCYGTGCTCCCTGCTGGGCAGCCAAGGGAACAGGCAGCAGCAAAACCAGGGAAGTGGCCCCCAGCGCTGACTAATCCCAGCCACAGCAAATTATTTGTGCAATACACTCAGCTAATGTTCACAATGTTGGTAATAGCCCATCTCTTCGGCCCCTTCTGCCTGCCAGAACACAATATTTTGACAGCAGGCAGAAGGTACAGGTCTCTGCAGCATAGTTAATTAAGTGTAGTTGTTTATTCCCTAGGCCTATATAAGGAACTGCTGCTGAGAGAGAAATTGGAGAAACCCAAACTGTGAAACATTGTATTAATTTAACTTGTTTACTCATAGTTTCTCAATCACTTCCTCCCACTGTTCAATTACCCCAACAATTCCTATGCTGTGCTTGCCTTGAGTCGGTGAAGACAGGATAAGCAGAGGGGCTTAAACTGATGGCACGAAGGGAATGACAGCAGAGTGGGGGTCACTTCTTCAGGGGACTCTGCCTTGTTACTTGCATAACTCTGCACTTACTGTGCTCGAAAAACATCTGCTTTCACCTTCCTGGTAGGAGCTGGTTACTCACCTGCCACGCATTCCTGGGCAGTAAAAACTGTTCTCTGCTGAGCACCGAGGGCTGTGGTGGCACAAACACAAACACACGCACAGGGGGACAAGGACAGGGCCGCTTTT